TTGACTATACATGAGTATTTGTCAAAAATAGGGTTGTCAAAATGGATCAAACACGGGTGTGTTGAGTCGAAAGTGGGATGAGTTGAGTTTAATGACCAATTATGAATTTCTTTGACTCAGCCCAACCCATTATCAAGGTGGGTTGGGTTGGATCATAGGCCAAAACCCACTTTGACAACTCTAGTAAAAAAATATAGTATATTTGTTGTTACAAAATTTACTTATGCTAAGCACCTTTTTTAACAGTAGGTATAGAGTTCGTACAAATATTTCCTATACCTAGGATCTTTCCTTTACCACTTCCTCTGAATGAGATTGATCCTTCATGAGGTTGAAAGTTTAGGAACATAGAGCATTCTCTCATCATGTGTCACAAGCAACCACTGTCCAAGTACTAGTGTATATCATTGATTTTTTCCATTAATTAAGGATATTTACCACATAAATTATTTGAGACTTTGATACCCAAATCTTTTTGGGTCCTTCTCTATTAGTACCCTTGACCTTATACTTTCTTCTCTACTTCTTTTTAACACTACATCTACTTGAATGATGATTACTTTTATCGTAGACATCGTAGAGAATAGTGTTAAGTATGGAGAATGATGTTTCTGACTTTGTTTTCTCAAACTTGAGACTACTTTTGTCAGATGGTAATCTTCTATGCTTTAAAATCATATTCATCTTAGAGGATCCATCCACAACATAGCAAGATCCTTCTTGAGTTATAGGTTTTTAGCTTGCAATGTTGTAGTATCAAGTGGCTCATTACATGGCTTTGATAGTGACATCTCAACAAACTTGTAAAAGTAATATCATTAGTTATTTAATTGTCATGATTAGGTTAGGTAGTTGGAATTAACTTAAGCTATCATAGGTTACTTCTAAACTAGGATTAACTTAGCTTGCTCCATAGGTTTCTAGAAGATTAATTAGAGTTTGTTAACTTAAGTACAAGATAGCTAACCATGATTACACTTGGCCATGGTTAGTCTAGCTTACACCATAAGACAACCAAACTCCTATATAGGATTACTTGTAATGGCCGTGTTTTTCACTTTGAGTTTTATATGAATTAGATGAATTTTCTCTAATTCTCTCTCTCAAAGCTCGTTTCTCTCTTTAAAACTTTCTTCATTCTCTTATCCTCTCTTGAGTGTGGTGAGATTTGGAGAGACTTATCACTTCATGAGTGTATCGTCACCAAGGGGGCTCTTTACCTCTCCATGTGTGTTTGAAGATGGATTCTAACACCTTTGGAAGCCATTGAAGAAGGTAGGAGGAGACCAAAAATGAAAAGATTTGTTCTAGAAGCTTGAAAGAGGAACTACATCAATTTAGTCTCTCCTTGAAGTTTCCATGAGAATAGTTTGGAAACTTCTAAACATCTCATCAATAATTTTGTTCTCTTTCATAGAGAATAACTCATAATGTCTCTAAAGAGTATTAATTTATATGAGTTTTACATCTTCAATTCCCTTATGAGTTATTCTAATAATTTCCCACATGAGTTATCTTCATTTATATCTTCGTCTTTCTTCTTTGTAGAGAGAAGTATTCATTGATACATTAATTGCGAACATTAAATGTATTTCACAAAATTGTCATTTCTTATCCGATCAAGAGGATTTATCACCCTTAAGATATAAAATGATAAAAATTATTGCATATACTAATAAAAAAAATACTATATTTAAGACTACACATTTTGAAAATTTTATTTGTCCTTTCTCAAAAAATATGTTTCTATTTCTTTTTAAATTACAAATACTAAAGAAATTATTATTTCTTTGATTTATTAAGAAATAACATACATAAAAATCATCTTTTGATCTATCAAAAAGGGCAAGTACGTACATTATCAATCTCTAATATAATATACCGGCCTAACTTAATTTTTTTTTTTATTTTTATGTGCAGACTTTATATCCATTGATTTAAGGACCTGATCGTTATTCTTATTACCTCTGTGACAGACGAAGCATGACATATCTCGAACTCAAGCAGCTAATATTATCCATTGTGTACTAGCTAGCCATGAACAACTTACCACACCAAATTAGTTAAAATATATTAACTTTATATTTGACATTTTTTGTGACAATCCAAAATCTTTGAGACTACCTTGAAAAAATGGGAGCTTCGGGCTTTACTGATCTTGCTATTTTCCGGATTGATTTTGCACTATAAGACAAACTAATCAGTAATTAAATTTAATAACAAAAAAAATTCCTTCATTAATACTCAGATCATAATGTTTTAGTTATAATTTATTTAAAAATTGTATGTAAATCACTCTATCAATAATTTTGATTTTTCTTGTATTGTTAAGTCCTTCTTTGTGACTGACTCTATAGGTGCATTTTTTTTTCCTAACTGCAAGTGCATGTTTCTTTTAGTAGGCATTAGTTTTCTGTTTTTTTTTAACATATATAAAAAGAAATATCTTTCTAACTAAAGACTAATACCAATTTAATATTTTATGGACAAGTAATATTTTAATATTACAACACTATAATAAATATTATATATAATAACATTAAAAGTGTTATTATAAATATAATATATGTAAATATAAATCAAGTTAACATATATTTAATCACAATTTTAATATTAATTTTAAATAAAATTTAATAATGTGTTTTATATATTATTATAATTTATATTTATATTTTTTAA